TTTTTTTTTGTATTTTTATGTATTTCTTAATTTTTTAAAATATTTTTTCACAATTTTTTTACTTTTTAGATACATCTAAGTAACGTGCATCTAAAAAAGTTAAAAAAAATGTTTAAAATTTAAAAAATATTCACTAAAAACAAAAAAACACGAAAATCAAAAAACTCAATTTTCAAAAAACTTAATTCAAAAAACTCAAACCAAACACACTGATTGTTTTTTTGTTTTATGTTTTCCATTTGCGTGCATAGTTTTTATGGATAAATTATTAATAGGTTCTAATAGTTCGACTTAATTTTCATCAAGTTCTATTGAAATAAGTTCTTAGTAAATCGTCGTTAAAAATAATTTTTTGTGATTTTTGTACATGTCGTTAAAAATTGATAATTAAGTGACTTTTTTTATCACAGTTTTATAAATCGTTGTTAAAACTCACAATTAGTGAAATTTTTTTGTGGCGAATTTTTCAAAATATCGCTGAAAGTTGAAAATTAGTGACTTTTTTGTGACGAGTTTTTTAAACGGTCGCTCAAATTTATAATTAGTGACACTTTTTGTAAAAAAAATTTCAAATTGCCGCTGAAATTAATAATTTGTAATGTTTTTTAATAGTGTTTGATGAAAAGCCCCATTAATTATTATAGGATCTATTGGACAATAAGTTCACCTATTAGGATCTACACATAAGTTCTCCTAATTTTATTGAGTGATTAAAGAGGAGGATTTCCTTTGGACTAGGCCTATCACAGACCCTATTTTGATTATTTAAATAGTTCATTTTATTGAGATTTTGTTTATTTCGTTCACAAAATAATAATAATAATAATAATAATAATAATTATTATTATTATTATTATTATTATTATATTGATCCGATAGTTGCAACTTGCTTAATTTATTATTTTTTCCATCAAAAAAATATATGGTTTATTTTTTAAAAACACAATTATTGCTCATTTTTTGAGTGAAAAATGCGATAAATTGAATAAGTTATAGTTATTGGATTGACTTAATTTCTTTTTTCTTTTTTTGGATGAAACACATGAACTGTCCAACCAAATGAATGTTTTTATTATCGAAATGAAACTCGTGGTGGGTTCTACAAGCCCAAGCAACTCCCTCCGGTCCAAATTTTGGACTCAAAGGAATCCTTCTCCTTTTCGTAAATATCATTTTGTCCGTCAATTTTATAATCGTAAACTCCTCTGGTACTAAAATTCGAACGAATACACTGTCTCAAGTGAGAGTAATAGAATTTATAATTGATTGATCAACATATATATATATTTATAATTGAATGAGATAAAAGTTATTATGCGTAATAGTTAAAAGATGTTTATGAAATCAATTTTTAAAATTATATAAATCTTAATATAGGATTATAGTAAAGTAGTATATCACTCAAGCATACCACAAATTATTTTTGGGTATAATCAAGCACTCCTTTGGTTATATTGTGAAATATTTGGATAATCATTAAAAGATATGTAATTGGAATTCTAATGAGTGTTTGGGCCAAAGTGGAAATAGGAGCTAGAATCCTGAGATTTTTTAGCTCAGTGAATGTTGCTACAATTGCAATGTTCTTCTACTAACAGGTACAATCCTTTTTAATTTTAATTGTGTAGTGGTGAATGTTTGTGGGCCAAATGATTATGCTAGAAGAAAAGGGGTGTGGGATGCTCTAGTGAGGCTCAAAACACAGGTCTTGTACCCATGGTGTTTGGGGGTGATTTTAATAAAATTAGGTGCGTCTCTGAAAGAAAAGGATACTTTAGGAGGGATGAGGGGAAGGGAGAGTTCAATGAGATGATTGAGCAGTTAGGGGTGTCTGATATATCAATGTGTGAAAGGAAGTTCACATAGTGTGACTCACATGAGGGTGACAAATGGAGCAGGATTGATAGATTTTTACTAAATTCAGAATGGTTGCAGGCTTTCAATTTTAAGCTGTGGGGTTTACCAAGATTGATCTCTGACCATTGCCCCATCTTATTAATGAAAGATGAGAGAGATTGGGCACCTAGACCATTTAGGTACCTTAATGCTTGATCCTTGCACCCAAAGTTCTTGTCATTTGTGGAGAAAACCTGGGCTGAACTAAAAGTGATGGATTGGGCAAGGTTTAAATGTTTAGTCAAATTCAAAGCCTTAAAATCTGCCCTAAAGAAGTAGAACATTGAGGTGTTTGGAAATGCAGAGAACAAGCAAAAAGCTACAGAAGAGGAAGCTCATGTCCTTGATCTAGTTGTTGAAGAAAGGGCATTATCTGCAGATGAACTGGCTAGGAGGAGAGTTTTGAAGGGTGATGCTTGGAAGCTGAATAAAATGGTGGAGAGGATGTGGTTTCAAAAGTCTAAACTTAATTGGGCAACATTAGGTGATAGAAACACGTCATTTTTCCATGATATGGCAAGTTGTAGAAGCAATAGGAATGCCTTATGCTCAATTCTGGTGAATGGGATTAGCATTGAAGATACTTTCGGTATTAAAACAGAGGTGTTGAACCATTTTAGTAATCATTTTGCTAAGTCTTGGAAGATAAGACCTTTCCTAAATGGCCCTTCTAAGTTATAACGCCCCAAAATAAATATGACAAACCCATCTCATTTGTGGAAATATAATTGAAACAATCAGAGTCAATATACAAAAGGTGACACATGCGATATATATTCATAAATGTCCTATTATGAATCTACAACATGTGTTACTAGTAATCCAAAAGATGAAAATTGAATAGATATTTGAATGCCCTAGCGGCTTACATCTTTCAAAGTCATTCCTTGGTTACAATTAAATGAGTCTAGCTCAAAACAGTTAAAGCCCTTGGCTATACAAATTAAATATAACGAAAATGAGCCCTTGCTCCAAGTCTCTACAAGCTACGGTCTTGGCGGAGGCATGTCTCCAGCACCTGAAATAGTTTTTCTCAATAGGGTGAGCCAAAGCACAGTGAAGACAATCTATCACAATATATGAACCTTAACAAAGATATAAGTAAGATGCGCATGTTCAATACCCAATGACAAAATCTTTCACAACTCTTCACTAAAACCAAGTTATGTCAAACTTACATCTCAATTCATGTTATCTCAGTTCATTTGTCATACCCATTTCATTTAATCAACCAAATAAAGGATACACCCCATAGGCCT